CTGAAGGCAAAAGGGGGTCCAACCCGTTACTAGCATGGGGTACCTAATAAAGTGGCCGGTGAGTGTATATATAACCACATACATTTAAAGTTTAAATAAGTCAAAGTTTAAATGAATCTTTTTATATGTATAGTCTTTTAAATCAATTTTAGAAATTCTTAGAACATAGTATATATTATGGCTAAAATGACAAAAAAACAAGCAGTTTGTGCAAAACTTTTAAAGTAAACAAAATGCATTTTATTTCTGTAATTTAATATATTTTTGAGAAAAATATGATATTTAATGGGAAATAATATAAAGTGAGATTTTATCCAAGTGGGCATTACATTATAGAATGGACCCAGGTGGTTAAAAAATAGGCGGAGCAAGTTATTACATTTTGATTAAAGTTGAAAGATCTTTTTTTTTTTTACTTGGAAATGACATGTTAAACAAATCATGCACAGTAAGACCAGAAACATGCATTGAAACATAAATAGGTCAAATTTAGTAACTAACAAAGCAAATGCAATTCTAACTTACTTGGGTTCATATTTGACCTCTTCGGTATGGGACATGACCCCCTTTCCTTGCTTTAGTCTCTCTATGCCATTCCTAAGAACAATAGTGTCGAACAAAAGTCAGAGTGTCTTATGCATGTAATCGAGGCTGTAAGGCGATGTGCACCAATGTTATCACCTTACCATGCAATCATGACTCCATTATCAGTACAAAGCTTTGACGGAGGGCACAGTAGATGCAACCCAGTGGCATCTGTGACAATTTTCAGAGTCTGTCTGATGTATTCATTACTCGCTACTCCTCCTGAAACAACCTATAGAGGTGCACAAGACGAAGAGTTGAAATTTTGGTTGGGATAGAGTGGAATTTTTACCAAATGTCAATTCACCACAGGCATTTATTGGTTGATAAAATGGTCAAGCGAAGCTAGAGGTAATTTCAAGAAGGACATGTTATGCTTTTTTACATTTTCAACTTTCTTTAGTGTGTAATGTTGCTATTTGAGCATGAAAGAGGTCTGCAAAGTTACAAAGCAAAAAGTCACTCCAAATGGAGTTATTCTCTATATCAGCAAGCGCTGTTTCATTGCTCCCTGAAACGTGAAGCCTAATTTAATTGCATTAGTAATGTGTTGAAACTTACTGCTATGGTAAGGGGCGTGACATTTGTGAAACACGCTTGAAGCAGTTAACTAATCACAACACACTGGTCCAGCCATCCAATCAGAGCACATTGCACTTTCTACACAAAGGGGCTTCATAGAGACCGGAACTAAACAGAGTATTACTGACGGACGGGGAAGAAATGTAAATGTAAGGTATGTGAAATATAGATAAGCGTTTTTTGAACATATAAGCATGAATACCTATTCTAATAAAACCCCAAAACAAAAACAAGACTTTGTAAAAGGGCATAATATGGCTTCTTTAATATGAAATGCCACATCCGAGTCCTGAGGTGCTGTGAACTTACCAGAGTTGGATTGTGCTGTGGTAGAAGACCTTTGGATTTACAGAACAAAATGGCACGATGTGTTCGTTTGGCTATATGAGATGCAACGGTGTGTTGTGAGGCAGCGGCGATGTCTTTAACACATGATAATAACTGTCCTGTTTCAACACCTGAGGAAGCATAACACTGTCTTACTGATTATTATCAATACTGAGTTCTAGAAATTGTAATAATTGTATTGCATCTCCAATCAAATAAAAACCTAGTGAGCTGCCTACCTAGGGAGTAATTTAAGCATCATAGGTGCTACTACAGATGCAAGCGAGGTTCCACATAGTAGATATTGTCTAATCAGTCCAAATTCCAGCGGATGATTAAGAAGGCAATCCCATAATGCACTGTGACAAGCTGGCGGATAGAGCAAGAGACATTTGGATTGTAAATATATATAGAATTCATTTATACAGGAACCCCCCCCCCCCCCCAATAAAATAGTTTACATCTAATTAAAATGCATTACATCTGCCCAATATTTGTGTGTGCTATATATATATATATATAATATATATATATATATATATATATATATATATATATATATATAGACATGCGGAGTTGCTGTCTATATTGGGTCACTTATAAGCTGCTGTTTCAGTCAGGAAGCTGCCTTAAAGGAGAACTCCGGCGCAAAATGAACCTTTGGTCTAATAAAACATTGGTACCTAGTCAACCGTTCTCTGAGATTTATTTTCATGATTATCGAATGTAAAGAGTTTTATCTCTGGGGGCATTTAATAAGTAAAAAGAAATCGCTAGTTAATACCACTAACAAGGCTCAAAATAGCCCCACACTAACACAGTAACATAATGAGGGTCCCGTCATGCAAAACGAAGCATTGAGAACTTTGTAAGTGTACAGACCGTTTAATAAGAAGATATTTTATTAAGACAGTCCACTTCGTGTATACAGACAGGAGTGAACTTCTGAACTGTATGAATGGCGTTCGTGGTTTGACTAGTCGAGACTGTTTTCCAAAGATGGCTCCTGTCTGTATACACGAAGTGGACTGTCTTAATAAAATATCTTCTTATTAAACGGTCTGTACACTTACAAAGTTCTCAATGCTTCGTTTTGCATGTAGGGACCCTCATTATGTTACTGTGTTAGTGTGGGGCTATTTTGAGCCTTGTTAGTGGTATTAACTAGCGATTTCTTTTTACTTATTAAATGCCCCCATTACTAGCGTTATACGCTAAACAGTTTTTAGAGATAAAACTCTTTACATTCGATTATCATGAAAATAAATCTCAGAGAACGGTTGACTAGGTACCAATGTTTTATTAGACCAAAGGTTCATTTTGCGCCGGAGTTCTCCTTTAAAAGGCCTTAAAAGGCAGCTGTCTATGTAAGCAGTAGGCAGCTCACTAGGTTCCGGAAAATAACCTGTTCTATTGTTTTAAAATGAACAGATAAAGTACCTTCTTCTTTCTCTTTTTTCTTTATTGCCATTGTCACCTGGTTTCGCAAACCAGCAAAAGAGAAGTTGCAGTCGTAGATCTGTCCCATTGGCGTCTTGAAGTGGAATGCACGCCGATCCCCCTCTTTTGCCAGAAGCTCTATGGCTTGTCCACCACTCAAAGTCAAACACTCTGGGTGATTCCTAAGAGAAAGACTTCTAGCAATCTATCATTGAAAGGAAAGATAAACAGTTTATATGACAAACATCATACAGTTTTCCTTGTATTTGAATATTAAGTGATATCCTGATACCTTATCTAAAGAGTCACCAGCTGCTACATCCAATGTTTGCCCCAGAAGAAGAAACTCATCGATTCCTTTGGCCAGTGCAAGAAGAGTATGACCCCCAGAGACAAGGAGCACGAGAAAAGGGAAGTCTACAGGGTGCAGCATTCTTACAGTAAGGGCATGAGCCTCCATATGGTGTATAGGGATGAACGGCTTTTCATGTAATCTCACAAACTTCAGACTGAAATCCAAGCCGATCCCGAGGCTGAGGGAGAGTCCAGGCTTTACTGTTGTGGCCACAGCTGTGAGTTCATTGGGTTCAATGCCACTTCTGTCTAAGGCCTCCTGGACAACTCTACAGATGTTTTCTCTGTGTAGGCGTTGGGCCACAGGTGGGATAATTCCACCCGCACTGTAAGAGAATGAATCAAACAGAGGACACAACAATACAGCAGTAATTACATCATGTTTATAACGTTTCAAATTTTAAAGTGTGTATAAAAATATAAAGCAAATTGTATATTTTAGGTATATTTCAATCCTTCTTTAGCTTTTTTTTTTTGTTCACATAGTCCTAACCTGAAAATGACCTGACAAAACTTATAAAAGCGAAAGAAAATGGACATTTTGGTTTACACACACACACACACACACACACACACACATAATACCAGTATTCAACAAGTTCTTCATAGTAGACGAATGTTCAAGCTGTTATTTTCAGTGAATCACGACTAGAAATAAAATTAACTACTAAAATTACAAAAAAACTAAGAAAAATAAGAATAAATTAAATCTTAATAAAAAATATAAAAAACAACCAAAACTAATAAAAAAATGACAAAAACATTCATCAAAATTACTAAAGCTTGAACTAAAATGAAAACTGTAAATATAAAAATAAAAGCCAATTCCAAAAAGTTAGAATTTTCTAACCCTAACCCATCCTACAGTAGTATATAAATAATACTAAAATAACACTACTTGTAGTATATTGCAGAAGTCATATGGACTTGAATGATGCTTTTGTGCTTTTTGAAGCTTAGGGACATTGTAATGGTGAATAAATAACTACATGTCCTTTTTGATTGAACTGCTCCTTTAAGATATTGAAAACGTGTGATAAGTCAAGTGTTAGTCTATGTCGGTCTCAACTTATCGAGATTGGTTATTTATGAATGAAGTTAGGGGCAATACTTACTCCAGGTGTGTCTGTTTCTGAGAATGCAGAGATTCCCCCAAAATGATTCCAGTGTCGTCCAGCACAGCCGCCCCTGTCTCATCGCAGCTCGTCTCAATCCCCAAAACTAATCTAGGGCGCACTGCAGTGAAGGCTCTTGTAGACGTGAGGTGCTTCATCCAGCAACGAACACGTCCATTCAAAACACACGGAAACATTCTGTTAACACTGACAATTCACTGTCGTTAACACTGGTCGCTTTACCTGGACAACATTCTAAAATATAAAACACATTTCAACAATTCAAGCTACTCAAACACACTTCTAAACTTGTACAAATCCATTCATGACCCTGTATGAAACGAGACGTTACATATAAATATGTCCTACTCGCAACACGCGAAGTTGGGTTCCGTTAGTTTTTCTGTAAACTGTAATTTATAAATTTAACATAGAAAAGATGTCTATGGTTTATATAAAAATGAATAAATATGAGCAATTTAACTCCGATATTATTATTAGCAAAAGCTCAAAATAAAAAGCAACACACAGGAACCATTATAGAGTGCTTGTTTCCAGTGGGCTAATAATACAGGTGGGATGAAGACTCACATGGGAAAGATGTTTTAGGCTGATTCTTCACACTTTGGCTGACATGAAATATTTTGTTTGACTATTTTCAACTATTATTTGATATTTAACGTCCATTGCTTCCTTCAAATAAGGTAATGGTCTACCTAGGTAGTTGGGCAAATGTCGATTTATATATATATAGGGTAATATATAAATTTATTAAATTATTAAAATGTATTATCAATATATTAAAATAGTTTAAAATTTTTATATAAGGAGATTTTGAATCTTGAGTCTCGCACATGAACTTTAACTCTCACATTCTGCTTCTACAGAATGCTATCCATTAAATGAGTATAACAAGATGGAACCACAAGCCAAACGGAGGAAAGAAATGGACAAATGTGACACTTGGGATGTTCTTCCTGTTCTCTCCGATGAGAAGTCTCGGGACACTGAATTGTTGCCGGCCTACGTAGCACCCATCATCGAGAAAAGAGAAACATCTCGCCTGGTCAAAGAGCTTTCCCTGATCTACCCTCTACCCGGTCTGCAGCACATAAAAAGAGTGAGAGCTTGCAAAGACAAAAGCAGCCCTCATCCTTTAGAGGTCATTGTGTGCTTGGCCAGGGATGTGGCCAAAGGAGTTATGCCTGCTGATCTGCTTCGCTCACAGTCTTTTGACTCCAGTGGTTTAGGTGAACCTTTCCTTGTTGAAATACCTGCCAATCCTTCACTGACCAGACCACAGTTTGAAAAAGCTAGTAAACACTGGCCTACGTCATTTCATGAGGACAAGCAAGTGACGTCTGCTCTGAGGGGCCAATTGTTCACTGGCGATCAGAAAGCTAAAATTCAATACTACATGACGGCAGCTGTCCAGGCTGCAAAATCAGGTCGGAAAATGGGAATGGATGCGGTGGGCGCTGTAATTGTTGACCCAGAATCTGAGAAGATTGTTGCAGTGGGTCACGACTGTAAGCGTGGCGCTCAGCCGCTCCATCATGCTGTCATGGTCTGTATTGATCTTGTGGCCTGTGGGCAAGGAGGAGGCGCCTACAATTACGAGAAATATCCAGCCTGTCAATTTAGCAGCTCTGAGTTCTTTAGAAATGGCTCTAATTCGAAAGAAACTGGTCAGCCTTACATCTGCACTGGATATGACCTTTACGTCACACAAGAGCCCTGTGTGATGTGCGCAATGGCTTTGGTCCACTCAAGAATCAACAGAGTGTTTTATGGAGCACCCTCTGCAGATGGTGCCTTGGGAACCAAGTATAAAATTCATTGCCAAAAAGATTTAAATCATCACTTTGAAGTGTTTAAAGCGGTGATGCTGACAGCATGTGAGGCTTTACACAAAAAGTAATATTTTTTTAGCTGTTCTTAATAGGCAATATTAAAATTGACATTTTAATTTTGTTTTGTAACTCTAGCCAAATATTTTTTCTTAATAGGACCATAATAAAAATTATGGAAATAAAATTGGATTGTTGTCTACATTTAAATATCGTATTTGTTTTATCAAACCAAGGCATGTCCTAAATTTTTATACTGTAGGCATATATATATATATTCACACACACACATATTAATGTTCAAAAATTACAAAAAAATCTAAAATACAAAATAGAATAAAATTTTCTAAAAAAGCAGCACAAGTTTTCAACACTGATAATAATGTTTTTTGAGCAGCAAATCAGCATATTAGAATGATTTCTGAAGGATCATGTGACACTGAAGATTAGAGTAATGATGCTGAAAGTTCAGCTTTGAATCACATGAATAAAATACATTTTAAAATTCATTAACCTATAAAACAGTTATTTTAAATTGTAGTAATCTCACAATATTAGAGTAATTTTGATCAAATAAATGCAGCATAAGTGAACATGATACAAAAACATCTATTACCTAAAAACAAATATTACCAACCTCAAATATTTGAACAGTAGTGTGTATTCTATAATTTTTAGTAAAAGTAAACAACAGGGTTTCTAATACTTTTATTTGTTTGCAGCATGTAATACAACACATACTATGTTCATACCTTTTCTCAAAACAAAAGGACAAAACAATTGGCACAGTTGAGCCTTCAGATAATGTCAAAAGACAAGAAAATGGAAGGATTCAAATAGTTTAATGGGTCTATGTTACAGTTTATCAACTTCAATAACTGTGACACAGAAGAGAGTAAAGAAACATGACGGTTTGCTGAAGCTTGGTAATGATCCAGAGTTTTACAATCACATACTGAAATGGAGTTAAGAGTCAACATGAAACTTTTTGTAATGCATTTCTGATTCAAACAGAAGATAAAACAGCGTAGGGAAGAACTTGATGTTTGGGCGGATGAAGCGGTTAAAAACATTACAAAGAAATGTTCTTTGAAATAATGTGCACTGATAAACTGTGCAAAATGAGTCCAGAAACGTGTATTTAGAAAATAAACAAGTTCTATCTTTAGTTTCGTGTTGACCTTAATGAACGTGAAAGTACTTAAAAGCCTAAACTCTAAAGTTTTGTTAATGTTAATATTTTTTCATTGTCACCTATAAACCCTACGACATTAACCAAACAAAACTATACATAATATTGTGACTGAATAAATATTTTTCAGGAAATCATGCAAACTGAGTTTGTCTCCGAAGCAATGATAACATCAACAAAACTCAAGAAATAGCAGAAAGGTTTCATGGCTTTCAACTGATTTTAAAAACACATGGCATTATTTAAGAATGTATTTAGAAATGTGAAGTGACGCTAAAAGCATTCATCTATCTTAGTGTATCAGCGTTGTGAGCACATTTGTACAAACAAAAACTAATTAACAAAGAAAAAAAATCTTTAACCATGAAACCTGGGCCAGCCCAGATCCACAAGGATCACAAAACAACAAACAAAAACACATTAAATATCTTAAGTTATTAATGCTTGTGGAATTGTCCTCCCCCTAACATATCCCTACAACAGTTTCTCAAGATATATCAAACAAAGAGGCTCACAATTACACAGACTGTACAAAACTGCTAAGTGTACACAACTGCGGTACAAAGTACAAAGGGTTATCTCCTCTCCCACATCGGGCAACAGCTCCGAGTCTGAACCCTGGGCTTTAATACTTGTTTATTCCAAAGATCCTGACTCCATGGAGTTGTGGCAGTTTTGGGATGAGAACACTCAAAAGCGAAGCTGTGTTTATCACAAAATGTGCTGTGTCGTATTTTGTGTAAAAACTGGCGAGAAAATATCTGCGAATAGAAAAGACAAACAAGTGTTATATTTCAAAATCGGTACAGGCTCTTAAAGTGCTTCTATTATGCCATTTTAAAGGTTCCTAATTTTGTTTTCGGAGTCTACCACAATAGGTTTACATGCATCCAAGGTCAAAAACACTTTAATTTTCTCATAATATACATTGCAGTATCACGTCTCTTCTTACAGTAGCCATGTTTCCATCCACTTGTCGATCGAATTTTCTGAAGTTCGGTAAAAAACCTCATGCAAATAAAGCTGGTGAAAGTGTGTTTCCATCAAACGGCTTTAAAGCGGATAAAAACCTGTGCGTAATGACGTCACATGCTGTTTTGCGATCAAATTGGTATATCGAATATGTTTTCCATTCATTTTCTCACCGAATTGCACAACATTCAAGCCAACGTTTGCGAACAAAGTTTTACTAGGCAAAATGGATTGCACCATAATTACGTTTCCATCCGCGTTTATCGCATAAGCCGTATATCGATCAAGATAAAATCCGATGAGACCGATCGTATTTCATTTGAGTCGATATTCATGAAATTCAATCGAATTTCACTGTTTCCATAAGGCATTTTTCATTCGATATCACTTAAAGGAACACTCCGACTTTTTGGGACTTTAGCCTATTCACCTTATCCCCCAGAGTTAGATAAGTCCATACATACCTTTTTCATCTCCGTCCGTGCTATAAGTCTGTTTGACGCACCCACCGCTAGCCTAGCTTAGCACAAAGACTGAATGTAAATGGTTGCAGCTAGCATACTAATCCAAATAAGTGACAAAATAACGCAAACATTTTCTATTTACATGTTGTGATTTGTATAGTCACAGAGTGTTCAAAAATGAGTGTAGCACTGCTACTTGGGCGGAGTGATAACCGCAGCACCTGAGACGCGCTCTCTGCTCCTCACCACGGCTCGTCTCAGGTGCTGCGGTTATCACTCCGCCCGAGTAGCAGTGCTTCGCCTTCAGAGAATATAGTTCCAAGTATTTATACGGTTAAAATATGTCTGTGTCTCATGTGACTTTGTTTTTTGTACACTCTGTGACTATACAAATCACAACATGTAAATATAAAATGTTTGCGTTATTTTGTCACTTATTTGGATTAGTATGCTAGCTGCAACCATTTACATCCAGTCTTTGTGCTAAGCTAGGCTAGCGGTGGGTGCGTCAAACAGACTTATAGCACGCACGGAGATGAAAAAGGTATGTATGGACTTATCTAACTCTGGGGGATAAGGTGAATAGGCTAAAGTCCCAAAAAGTCGGAGTGTTCCTTTAATGCGGATAAAAACGTGTGGATGGAAACATAGCTAGTGTCTGACTCTGAAACAGTTCGATAAAGGATTCAGTCTCTCTAAACCCCTCCTTTCCTACTCTGCTCTGATTGGTCAGATGGCTCAGTCTATTGTAATATGCTTATCGCTCATCAGAAATGAAATGGCCATTACCATATCAGAATTTCAACTCCGGAGACTTCCTAATGCCGAGTTCACACTGCACGATTTTCAAAGTAGTCGGGTCACTGTTCTTTACACTGCACGTCTATCTGGGCTAACATTCATTTGCTGGTGTGTGCACACTGCACGATGGATCGGCGACAGGAGGTTTCACACTGCATGACTTAACAGAAGAAAGAATCGCAGACAACTTCTGTCTGGTCCGCAAACTACGTTTCACAACCAAACGCACTCGAGAAGTGATAAGGAAATAACGCAAGATCACGCGTGCGTGAGACCGGAGTTCTCGCGCAAGACTGAAATTGTTATTAAAAATGATAGCCTGCAAGATGATTGCGATCCAAATTGTCTGTGCACTGATTTGCAGCGAAAAGGAGAGAAAAAAAAGAAGTTTATGCAATGGTGCAGGAGGAAATGGTTGGGGAGACGAGGGGAGCAAAGATTGTGTGTTCTGCAGAGAGTTGGGGGTAAACAAATCATTTTGCAATGTGCTGCTGGTCAAGCACATGTTTGTGCTTGGTTTCTGTTTGATATAATTGTAAATACATCTATTAAAATACTGATATTATGGTCTATATCTCCTCCCTGAACATCCCGCTGCCCTGTTTCTTGCTCTCTCATTGGCTGTAGGTCATCGCCGAAGTAGTTTCTCTCAGATCGCGTCTTTGATAATTCACACTGCGTGATTGTCACTCGCGTGAACGAGCACCGATTTGCCTATGATTTCGGGCATTTGTCTGCGATCTCCGAAAAACCTGTCGGCGAGCGAAAATCGTTCAGTGTGAACTCGGCATACGAAGCCTCAGCTACAACTACATTGTTTGAGGGCGGGACAAAGTAACGTTGATCGTGGATAGCCAATGAAGACCATAGGCTGGCTTTATGCAAATTTGTTACAAACCTATGTATGACTCGTTTCAGGCAGTTCAGAATCAGTTCTTTTTTTATATAACTTCATTTGTCATGCAATTTCAAAACTTTGCAGACCTTTTACATTCACAAACAGCTTTAATACACACTACGTGAAAAGTAATATTTTGAATGACCAAAATATGTCTATAATATTCACTATAACATATTTATTTAACATTTAATTTTTTGGTTTCCTAAGGGGATATTTAGTTCAAAATGTTGCATAAAACTACAAAAACTTACAAAATGATTGGTGAGATTGTAAAGAATTTTCTAGATGATGTGAACTGCACGCCGTAGTCCAGCTGTTCCCAGTGTGTGAGAAGTCTTGCCTTGCCCTGGTCTGGAGTTTCAAATGGTGTGCCTTTCACTGCATGCATAAACACGTACATACCCTGCGGGAAGACAGAAAGATGATCCAAATGACATGGATAGACATTCTCAAAGTTTATAACAATTGGACCTCTTAATATTAAGCTCAAAGAGATAGATGAAGAATGTTTCTTCTGTTTTTGCCCATACAATAAAAATCAAAGAGGTCCAAAACAGCATTTAATTTACTTTCACTGTATTGACAAGAAACATTGAGACATTTTTTTGGATTTCACAGAAGAAACCTAGTAATACAGGTTTGGAACAACAAGTGGGTGAGTAAAAAATACTTTTTGGTTGAAAAAGTATCCCATTTTACTCAAGATTTTGACTAGTCAAGAACAAAGTACTTTGGCCAGATTTATTTTAGTATCATTGAGACACTATTGTAGTTTTTATTAATAGTTTGAATTAGTTTTTATTTTTATATTTTTTCATATACATTTTCATTTTTAGTTTAGTCTATAGTTTATGTTTTTTTATTATTCCAGTTTTAGCTGATTTTTTAAAATTTCAGTTCATGTTTATTTTATTGTTAGAAGTAACAATTTTTAAAAATGGTTTTAGTTAACTATAATAACCCTGACTTTAGCAAGTCTCAAAACGTATCATTGCAAATGAGATTTGAGAGCTTTGACGGGAGGCGAAAATGATAAAAAAAATATTAAATAAATTGGGGTCTTTTCTTTGTGGAAACTATCGGCTTCAGAAGACTTGGAATAAAGACTTTAGATTATCACTCCCTCCTTTAAACCTGGGACACACCAAGCCGATGTCAGAGAACTAGCGGCGACGAAAGCTGACTGTTTTGTCGCCTCTCGTCAGCTGAGTCTCGACCAAAAAAACTGTGCTTGAACAGACCAAAAGGCGACTGTCAACTAGCACTTGCGTTCTGCGCCTGCGTGCAAGTAAATATCTGTCTATATCAGCAGGTATCAATAGTCTATTTTCGTCATTGAAAAAGGGAAACCGAAGCTAAAACTGCAGATATACAAACCGTAAACAAAGCAGCGCTTCCTTACCATTTTGAATATCAATCACACAGATCAGTTTCTTCATTCCAGTCAGCTCTTGTTATTATGAAAATATTAGTGCATTTAAATGCTCAGGTAAGATGACATAAAATTATAACAGCCGTCTTGACTTCTTTGCTCGCTTTCATCCCTTTTGCTATTATTCTCATGTATTGACTCGCTCGCTAAGCTGAACAGCCAATCAGAGTTCCCTCTCTCTCACTGACACAGATTCAACAAGCCGAATTGGCCCCCAAAAAAACCTGATGGCATCCGACTAGAGTAAACGATCCGGAACACACAGAAAAAACTAAGCCGACCGGCACTCAAAAACCGTCGGCTTAGTGTGTCCTGGGCTTAAGAAGCATACTTACAAAATTTGTCTACCAATTCAGGACAACAGAAACATTACAGTAATCCCTATGAATAGCTTCTCTCTTTAATTGTGGTACAAGTTTTCATACATCATGATGTGCCAGAGAGCTTAAACTTGGCCAGTGATGTCATGCTGTTGACCTTGAATCTTTGTGCAAGCGAGTCCTTACATAACAATGCCGCACAGACTACTAAGGAAGCATCAATTGTCGAGACTCCAACTGGCCGCAGGGCACTGCTGAGAAAATGACAACCCATTGACAAGTAGGGGTGGGAATCTCTAGGCACCTCACGATTCGATTCGATTACGATTCAGAGGGCTGCGATTCGATGCTAAATCGATTATCAGAATCTTTTTTGTGTGTGTGTGTGACTATAAATACTTTGCTTTAAAAGTACAAAGTAATGACCCATAAAGAATTAACGTACAATATATTTTATTAACATTGCAAAGAACCAACAGGAAAATACATGTGTGTCTGAACTAGCAGCAGCATATTTGTAGTAAATTAATAATATAACAACGACCGGTAACGTTACAGCCTAGTGTTTTTCCTCCTCTGGCTGGAAACGTGTCATATGGCTTCTCATATGTGTCTTGTTTCCGAAATATTTTAGTTTTACTCTACAAAGCTTACAACTAGTGTGGCTCTTGTCCAGCTCCTTTCCCCCTTCAACTTCAGAAGCCAAAATATTTCCACACGTCAGCTTTTAACGAGGAGGGTGTTTGGATTTGGCGCTCAGCCATCGCGTCCGCGTCTGTTATGTGCACGCCACAGACGGTCCGGCCACTGCACTTCCGCGCTTCAGAGTTCCGTCTTTCGCGTTCCGTCAATATTACGTTATTATAAATATATATCTAATTTTTTTTTTTTTTTTTGAAAATCGATTTTTGACAATTGTGAATCGATTCAGAATCGTCCACATCCGCATCGCGATGCATCTAAGAATCGATTTTTTCCCCCACCCCTATTGACAAGCGAACATAATGGGATATAACAAAGGATTATTCAACAGAGAACACTTACAAAATTGTGAATAACATTTGTGAGGGTCCACACAACAGGAACACTGAAGAAGGGAATGCTCAACAGTACAATGTGAAGCATTCCTACGCCGAGCGCATATGTCAGCCATATCCCCCGACTGTTCATCACGCGGGTGTTTGGGTTCACTTCACTGTGGGCCACGCCGACGTTCATCTTGTTTTTCTGTCAATAGACCAAAAAAAACACAGACAGCAGTGCAAAATGTCAAAAGGGAAATCGCAAGTCGAATAATACAATAATTCCGGATAGTATAAAAAGCTGTACAAGAAATAAAATAATTAAACAAAGAAATAAAATTAGCAATTGTTTTATAAATAATTGCCAAAATTATTTTATTCACAGATTGTTTTAAAATAATTAAAACTGGAAGAAAAAAACCCATTAAATAATTCAGCTGATCAATGAATGTATTTCATAGTAACATATTAATGTGACTGTATTGATGAAGTGTGTTGCGATAAAGTGTTTCTGTTGTAACACTTCAACAAAACTAAACAGTCCATATTGATAAAAGCGCAATTGCTATTTTATTGTTTGAAAAATACTAGTTAAGAGTAGACGCTGTCTTACAGTCAGCATGAGGTCTCGTCTATATGCCAACAAAGCATGTTCACATACTTACAATGGGGTGATTCTTCATAGTACTTTGCCCTAATGCATTACTGTTCATGCCTTCTACGCTTATCCAAATAATTTGCAACAGTTCAGTTCTTCTCTGAAAGAGCAAAGAAGGTAGAAGTGACATTTCATGGCATGTTTGGTTTATCCGTCACAGTAAACAGTTTAGGCAGCTGTTCGAAAGTCAAAGTTCAATGTTGCCTAATATTCAGCGTATTTGTTTTGTTGATTCGCTTATCTCAAGATTTCTCACTAAAATCATTTCATTCACTCATACTGGTTTCTATTTTGCAAGTCTGTTGCTTTGTATATGTATATATGTATATACACTCACCGGCCACTTTATTAGTTACACCTGTCCAACTGCTCGTTAACACTTAATTTCTAAGCAGCCAATCACATGGCGGCAACTCAGTGCATTTAGGCATGTAGACATGGTCAAGACAATCTCCTGCAGTTCAAACCGAGCATCAGTATGGGGAAGAAAGTTGATTTGAGTGACTTTGAACGTGGCATGATTGTTGGTGCCAAAAGGGCTGGTCTGAGTATTTCAGAAACTGCTAATCTACTGGGATTTTCACGCACAACCATCTCTAGGGTTTACAGAGAATGGTCCGAAAAAGAAAAAACATCCAGTGAGCGGCAGTTCTGTGGGCGGAAATGCCTTGTTGATGCCAGAGGTCAGAGGAGAATGGCCAGACTGGTTCGAGCTGATAGAAGGGCAACAGTGACTGAAATAACCACTCGTTACAACCGAGGTATGCAGCAAAGCATTTGTGAAGCCACAACACGCACAACCTTGAGGCGGATGGGCTACAACAGCAGAAGACTCCACCGGGTACCACTCATCTCCACTACAAATAGGAAAAAGAGGCTACAATTTGCAAGAGCTCACCAAAATTGAACAGTTGAAGACTGGAAAAATGTTGCCTGGTCTGATGAGTCTCGATTTCTGTTGAGACATTCAGATGTTAGAGTCAGAATTTGGCGTAAACAGAATGAGAACATGGAACCATCATGCCTTGTTACCACTGTGCAGGCTGGTGGTGGTGTTGTAATGGTGTGGGGGATGTTTTCCTGGCACACTTTAGGCCCCTTAGTGCCAATTGGGCATCGTTTAAATGCCACGGCCTACCTGAGCATTGTTTCTGACCATGTCCATCCCTTTATGGCCACCATGTACCCATCCTCTGATGGCTACTTCCACCATGTCACAAAGCTCTAATCATTTCAAATTGGTTTCTTGAACATGACAATGAGTTCACTGTACTAAAATGGCCTCCACAGTCACCAGATCTCAACCCAATAGAGCATCTTTGGGATGTGGTGGAACGGGAGATTCGCATCATGGATGTGCAGCCGACAAATCTGCGGCAACTGTGTGATGCCATCATGTCAATATGGACCAAACTCCCTGAGGAATGCTTCCAGCACCTTGTTGAATCTATGCCACGAAGAATTGAGGCAGTTCTGAAGGCAAAAGGGGGTCCAACCCGTTACTAGCATGGGGTACCTAATAAAGTGGCCGGTGAGTGTATATATATATATATATATATATATATATATATATTACACACACGTTTCAATTAAAGAAAATATCCACAACAAAATGCCAACATTTATTTTTATCTCATTATTATCATCAAACAAATAAATGCAATAAAAGCAAAACAGACTGAGATCAAAGGCTGAAGTCCAGCTACTCTTAATCATGTAAACATCTGTCAATAACCACTCAAATGATCCTTCCCTAAATATGAATAACTCTTTGATTGAGTAAGAATGTGTAGTATGTTAATATCCCTTAAGACAACAACACAGTTAAGAGGAAGTGAATTGAATAGACATTGCTCCGCTTCGTGCAAACAATATAGACAACCTGCATTTATTTAACAATTCTTAAATATTAGACAGATTATTGTTGCTTGGTATAAGCAGCTGCAGTAAAGTCCATGACACCGATTGAGTTAGCAGCACAGCTACATGACAAAACACTGTCTTATTCCTGCACAGCTCACTGTCTTCTCTCCTTTAACCACTTAAATAACACCCTTTAAATACCCTTATCATCCTGCCTGTACCATGATAGCAAGTTGTTTTGGGGTTTGCGCATGAGCAATGCTCTTATTTTAGCATAAACTGCTTTCATAACACACACCAGTTGCTTTTGTTTAACCCTACTTCCATTAAACAGCGCAAACATCAATTAAAGCTATTCAATCGCCCCGTTATCGCCGGATTAAGCAGCGACTCGAATGACTTGGTTTCATAAGAGATGAGTAACGGTACCTTACGTGCGTTCGGGTGAAGCAGGCTGGAGCGCTGCCGGCCTCCGCTGCGCGCACTGTGGGCTGACTCACCGCACACACACCACTAGCACACACAGGCTATCGCAGCTAACGGGATTAGGACAGCAAATCTCGCGAGATTGACGCCCCACGCCCACTAAAGGCGTGATGTTTACAATGCTACTTACGGAAAGAATCTCAAATCCTAATTTTATGATCATTGAATAAAAAATTGGTTTACTATTAGTGAGTCAGTTGTTTAAAAATGTGGGATTTTTATTCGAACATTTCCAATAATAATAATTTAGTAATTTTAATAATTTAATCAACGTATAAAGGCTAATACTAGAGATTGTTTAATGCTTTTTAAAGGTAGGAACCATGATCCACCGTTGTCTTTCTGTGCATTAAACTGCTGTTTAAAATAAAAACGTCTGTTTCTGTCGCCACAATTTCTTACTGTAATAGTTTATTTCATCTTTTGAAATACGTTTTCCATAATTACAATAGACAGATTTTTTTTTGTTACTATAAATATGTTGAATATGTATGTTGATGAATGCATAATTCTAAATGTATTATGATTTCTTTATAAAATCTACATCTGCAAACGCAACAACTGTAAGCCTCTCTTCAGAGATTCATAATATCAAAATATGTCGAACAAAAATTTAAACAAATTTAAAAAATAAATAAATTTGCTCTAGCTATGACATTTTCATTTATTTGTTTAAGCAATATAAAAATATAAAACATACGACAAAGAGCGAACATCCAATCAATGCAGAGAATAACAATGACGTCATTTAGGCGCCAGTTAAGCCATATCCGACTCGTGACTGGAGCGAGTTGGAAACGTGAAGTACGCTTGTGTTATGAATTTGTTGGATATCTTTTAACGGATTATTTCATTTTATACGAAGTAAGCTATAATATATTTGGCCATTTAATAGTTTAACGTATCATAATGATATTACTCTCACTGTTGATCTGATATGTCATTTTATAATGCATTCTGTCCGAAGTAGTTTGTGTCTGACTTAACTTAAGTAACGTTAGGTGTATGACCATTGTTGTCACTTTCTTCTTAGGGAGCACACAATGAAGGCGCTTCCACCTGAGACTGTGCGTCTGTTGTGCAGCTCTCAGGTTATAACATCTGTCCTGAATGTTGTCAAGGAACTGACTGAAAATTCACTTGATGCTGGTTCTTCAAGCCTTGAAGTTAAACTGGTAAATTCACTTTGAATATACTGACCAGTTAGTTTGACATATAGGTGTGGGGTAATTGGCATGGGAACATGCAGCATATTTGTCTAATACCTCTCTTTATTCAAAATGTGACCTGAATTGGGGTACCAATTGGGTACTAGTTTAGCTCTGTTAGCAACAGATACAGGAACATTTACTTTGAGGTGCATTTTAAAGCATGGGGGATCCCCCAAAATGTATTAGAACACTTAGCATTTAAATTTTTTTCATGTCATTGAATTAGAAAAAAATAAATAAAATCAAAACAAAGGAAATCACATTTTTAAAACATTTCACAAAATGAAGTACTGTATGACGCCCGTTGAGTTAATCCGACTTCATATATCCATTAAAAATCACATTGGGACATTTGAAAAAAGCTCTAGTTTGCAGATGCAACTTAGTGATGTTTTTTTTTTCTAATGCAATAACTTTTTATACATTTCTAAGTGCTAAATATATTTGTGTGCACTGTTAAAAGCTATGCTAAATCTATGTTAATGTTCCCTTGTGATAAGGAGAATTATGGATTGGATCGCATTGAAGTCAGAGACAATGGTTCTGGAATCAAAGCTACTGATGTTCCTGTGATGGCTGTACAACACTACACATCTAAAATCTCCTGCCACGAAGACCTGGAGCACCTAGAGTCTTACGGCTTCAGAGGAGAAGCTCTGGCATCTATATGCGCTATCTCAGAGGTTTCATCACGCTAGTTTTTGTTGTTTTAGTTCGAGATGCACTGATATTAAAACGGACAGATAATATAAACAATTATTTTCATGTTATGGCTGATATTAAAATTCTATACCATTATGCCAATATGTATATACTGAAAAATTATAGCAGGATTAGGCAGAAATATGTGCATAATTATGAAATATCCAGTATCTGCTGGCATTCAATTGTTTGACACTGATATATATTAAAAAATTCTAATATTGCATTTTATACGTTTTATAACTGATATGGTACTGAAATATTGTGCATCTCCAATGAGCCCTTGAGAGTCATTTTAATCAGTGAATTACAAATGTTGAACATGTTTCCTCTGTAATTGACCTTTCCCTCACCTACCAGGTGGTCATCACTACCAAAACCGCAGATGATGATTTTAGCATTCAATATTCAGTCGATCACAACGGACAGATCGTCTCTCAAAAGCCATCACATCTTGGCGAGGGTATGCGTCTGTTACTGCATTTATTTAATGCTCTTGATTTATGGGAACAGACTGCTTCTAACATACCTTTTCCCTCAGGCACCAGTGTGTGTGCAGCAAATCTGTTCAAGAACCTCCCTGTCAGACGGCAGTATTATTCCAACACTAAGAAATGCAAAGAGGAAATGAAGAGGGTCCAGAACTTACTCATGGCCTATGCTGTTATTAAGCCTGAGTTAAGGATCACGTTGAGCCACAACAAGGTATGGTACTGCTCCCATGTGGTTTACATTTTCAACTTTCTTTCTTTAGTGTGTAATGTTGCTGTTTGCTGTTTGAGCATGAAAAAGGTCTGCAAAATTGCAAAGCACAAAGTCCACTCCAAATGAAGTTAATCTCTATATCAGTAAGCACTGTTTCTGAACTCACTGAAACGCCACAATTGTAGTCTTTAGTTTTCTTCTGTTAATCAACACGTCATAATGTTCCTCATAAAATTCCTGCTTTAATGCATACGCAAAAAAGCGACAAGGCCTGGTTGAGTCACATTAGTAGTCTGTTGAAACTCGGTTGACCAATCGGAACACACCTGCCGACCAATCAGAGTTTCACTGCGCTTTTCGGAAGGAGGGGCTTAATAGAGAGGAATTAAACAGAGCGTTACTGACAGACTGGGAAGAGAGGTGCTGCAATAATGTACAATATGTGAAAAAATAATGTGTTTTTTCAACATTAAAGCATGAAAACCTATTCTAGTAGATCCCAAAGCAAAATCAATACTCAATCAACTCCCTAGGTCGTGAATCAGTATATTTCGGAATAGTGTTTATGCCCAAATATAATTAAATGAGGGATTGTTTTTTAAAAAACATCTATTGCGTGTCGTCATGTGTGGTGAGTTTGCTCGCGTGATTGATGTTTTGCTCTTTAGGACTTCTGGTAAGGGAACATAGTGAGTTAACATAAACTCCCTGGTTTTCACGGTGCATTGTGGGACTTTTTAGGGAACGTACGTTCCAGTGCACTGGAAGGATTTTGCGATTGAGGCAGCCCTTAAAATGGCTGACTCCCTGATCAGTGCCCTGATTACTGAACTAGGGAGCTGATTGAGACTCACCCTTTGTAAAAGGGCATAATAGGTCCCCCTTGCAGCGGGCTCCAAAAAGTCTGAGAACACATACAAAATCTGTACATAAACTGAATATTTTTAAGATAGACTATTTTAGTTGTTATATAAAGACAAACTACCGTTAAAAAAGTTAGGGGTCAGTAAAATGTGTTGAAAGAAGTCTCTTAGGCTTACCAATACTGCATTTATGAGATCAAAAAATATAATATTGAAAACAGTCCTTCTATTCAAAGCTGAATTCAATTTTCAGCATCATTACTCCAGTCTTCAGTGTCACATGATCCTTCAGAAATCATTCTAATATGTTAATTTGGTGCTCAATAAACATTTCTTATTATTGCTTAATATTTTTGTGGAAACGGTGATGCATTTTTTCAGGATTCTTTGAAGTTCAAAAGAACAGCATTTGTTTGACATAGACACTTTTGTAAAAATTTTAATGTATTTACTGTCTCTCTTGATCAGTTTATAATCTTTGCTGAATACAAATCTTAATTTTAAAAAAAAGTCTAGCTGACCCCAAACTTTTAAACGGTAGTGTATATTTGACCACAAGGTGGCCTCGCACATCAACAAATAATGTGGTATTACTCTCTAGGGTTTTACCCACATTTAGTGACATTTAACCATCACACAGCATGATATCAGTTGTGCTAATAGTGTTTGGCTAACGTTAATTAGAACTTATGTAACTTGTTTATTGCTTTGGTTTTTCACCACTGTTTTGACTCTGCTCCCTCGTTGCAGCTACAATCTTATGTTTTAAATTATCATATTAATCAGCAAAGATAAAGCATTTTAGCATGAAATTCTAATGAATAGGTGTATAATTGTAATATAATGCTATTTATTTAATTGTTTTTTTATGCTCACAACCAATCAAAATTCTTTTGGAAAACTCATAATTAATAATGAAGTTGGCCCTTCATTCGATAACCCGTGCAGGTTATGATGACAGCCTGGACATTTCCAGCATTTAGACATGTTTTGAGTGCCATCAATTAGAGCGTAACCTTGGAAAGTGGACATTTCGCCTGCTTCTTGTCCAAAATTAGCAATGCAACCGCAGGATGAACCACTAAGCCTTCGAATCTCACACTGCCACATGATCCTAAAGTAACAAGCTAAGTGGTATAAGTTCTCCGAGTGTTTTCGCAAGTCCACTAACAGCCTGGCCTCATGATTGCGTACGTATCTGGCCTTGCTCGGCGAGACCTCGCGTACCTGTCATTAAATTCATATCATTCAGGTTGTAGATCATCGGGAGAGGGCCATACACTCATTTCATGCCATCAGCACTTCCAGGCATATCTCGTATCACAAACTTTGCACTTCGCCCTGCATTGGGTTTCATGACTTCTCGAAAAGCTGTTTACTAGTCTGATCTCTTTACAGTCACCAAATTGTATATTTCATAGCAGAGATGTGTGCTGCGGACTGCATGCTTTCAGAAATCAACACCTTGGATATATATACTTGCATGTGGAAGTGCCAACGACAGGCGAACGCACGGGTGTGAAAATATATGCGTAACTGCGCTCCGCACGTTGAAATGACATTTGTTCACG